CTTTTATTGGTGTTACATTGATAAAGAAGAAAAAAAAAATTCATTATTTTTTCAATATTGTCAATTAAGGTTTTTATCCTGGTCATGTCAATACAAAGGGTAAAGGGCATAATAACTTGGAAAGCTCTCCTTCTTTAAACACTACAGTGAGTATCTCTGTTCGTTTAATTATGTTGTGGATCTAAATGACGATTCCATCACTCACAGCGTGTCTTCACACAGGATATCAAAAAGAACCATCAATATCCGACTTATCCTTACAATGATACCTCATTTGCGTTCGGCGACGAAAGTGATAATTATAATTTATACTATCCACACGTTCCCAATGGAAATCAATGATCTCGAGCAGATTACGTTGCATGGGGTTCAGATCATCAAGTACCCGTGTCAAAGGAAGAAATAGAAAATATTTTCATTGATTTGGCCAATAAATTTGGTTTTCAAAAAGAGAGCATGCGCAACATGTACGTTCACCTCATGTGTATGTTAGACTCGAGAGCTTCGCGAATGCCTCCATCTCAGGCTTTGTTAACTCTTCATGCTGATTACATTGGTGGAGAAAATGTTAATTATCGGAAGTGGTACTTTGCCACTCGTATGGACATGGATGATGATTTGGCCGATGCAAGAAGTGGAAAATATACTCCAGATCTGAAAGGAGATAATCTCAAAGAAAAATGGAATCAGCGAATGAATCAGATGTCACAGTATGATCACATACGTTAGCTTGCCTTATGGCTCTTGCTGTGGGGAGAAGCTGCACAGATCCGCTTCACAAGCGAATGCTTGTGCTTTTTATTTAAGCTTGCTGACGATTACGCAAAGAGTCCTGATTGTAAGTCAAAGGTTCAACCCATTCCTGAAGGAGAATATCTGCGAAGCATTGTGACTCCACTGTATCGTTACATTCGTGATCAGGGATATGAAGTAATCGGAAAAAAATTCGTCAAGAGGGAAAAAGATCATGCTGAAACGATAGGTTATGATGATATTAATCAATTGTTTTGGTATCCCGAAAGACTACATCACATACATGGGAAATGAGTTTTGGTGCGTCTTCCGTATACGCAGCTGGTGACCGGAATTACACACCTCACGGTGTGCTCCGGTCACACCTCGATCTGAAAGTTTACTTCTAGTCAGCATACAAATCAATGTGGAGACCTGTGCATATATTACAAAATTCTTTTTTTTTAAAAAGGAAACAGATTAAATGCGCGAAATCTATACTATTCATTCGATAGAATAAAAAATTTTATTTTGTATTTTGTATTTATGAATATTTATTGTCTTCGTTCTACTGTCTTTAATAAATTTTATCATGTAATTACAAATTAAGCGCTAATAAAAATATAATAATTTTTGGTTAAAAAAAAAATTTTATTTTCATTAAACGTTTTTTTTTCTTGAACACCTCAATGGCAAGAATTAAAATATACTCTCTCATAATTTTATTTTATTCAATTCCGACAAAACATACTCGGGGATACAACGATGAGACTTATACTTTCTGGCAGCATATTCTGCCAATTTACCAGTGATTCCCTTCCTATACAAATCCATATAACGCCATGCTTTCCTAGCAAATCTTCTTATTGTAATTGTATCAACGGATTCCAAGGCTGCAGGAACAACACGTTGCAAGCCTGACCAAGAATAATCACAGTTTTCTCGAGCATATCTTTTTGCCGCACCCCAGTATCGTTCAATATAATTCAGTTCACAGTGAAACTTTGGGTAAAAAATACATTTATGCCCAGCTTCTAATATGGTTTCTTCTAATGCGCTTTTTTGTAATAAAAAATCCGGCTGTAATGAAATGATTCGCCGTGCACAACAGTCCGTCCGATTTATATCATCAACCTTATCCTTGCATAACTTACAATCAGCACTTAATTCATCTCTCCACAATCCACGTTCAATTAACACTTGTTTCATTCCTTTAGGTTCATTTTTTTCATTGACCATTGATTGATGACAATTATTTGGTCCAAAAATTGTGTTTCGCATTTTTGGTTGCTTGCCTTCAGGTTTTAGATTCATCCGACTTGCCACAAGTGCATCAGACCTGTATGCTGCATGATTTGAACTATTATCAAATGCAAACAAAGCAATACAGTTTGGAAATATAGTTTCAAAAATCGGTATAGTCTTTATTTTCACTTGTTCAATTAAATCTTCACTTGTCCAGTATCCATCTCTATTTTTTCCCGGATAAAGATAGACTCGAGCTTCTTTAACTATAGTTGGATTTTCTTGACATTGTTGTGAGTTTAATTTAAGTCGACCATATTCTTCTGTCAAAAATTCACTAATCATAATGGAACACCCATTTCCTTTCTTGCGTAATGGAAACTCTTCAGATTTTGTCCATACTCCTCATTTACCATCATTAGAATAGAACATACTTTCATCATGTGTTACAAGAACTATTTCCTTTTCGGTTGGTTTTAATATTGGCATTATTCGTTCCATATTTTCTCCTTCATACTTAGCCATATATTTTTCATAACTAAATATTGTATCCAGAAACGATTGTCGATACTTTATAATATCAGGACGTTCGTGTCCATCATAATATATACCTATTTATTATAATATAAATTAGTTAAATAAAATTTTTATTGTTTAATAATGAATTCATTCTATACCTTGCTTTTGTGATTGAAAAAAATATCCAAGTACATTAAGCCAACGTGCTGCAGTTGCAATACTAATAGTGTTTTTTTCTGAATTTACAAGAAGCTTTTCTTCAACAAATGCTTTGAATTTTAATGGCGTGATTGTTCCCCCCTGAGATCGAATCCATATATGGCATTTTTCCGCGATATCTTCATCATCCACTAATCGTATAGTTTTTTGGTGTTTACCTTGACGACTTATTGGTAAATGATTATATTGAAGCCAATAATTTGCCCAATATCAAATAGATCTTGCTTTATATGGTGCGCTTTCAATAAAAACCAATTCTGCGGCTTCTATACTGGCTTTTTGCTTTCCTTTTCCATTGTTATCCAATCTATTTAAATATTCAAAAACTGCTCTCTTTTTGTTATATTCAGTAACTGTTAATTCTGTTTGTTGTTCTTTAAGTTCTTTTTTTAAAATTTCAATTCTTTCGTTCAGATTATATTGATTGTCTTGTTCATCATTTTCGGATTCATCTAAAATTTCATCAAAGTCATCTGGAATTGAATTTTTAATTAAAAATGTTGTTATTTTCTTAGTTCCTTTAGCAGCCTTCGTAAAAGAGCCATTGGGTCCATATTTATCAAAATAAGTTGATTTTTTTGTTTTTCCTGTAAGATAAGATCCACGTTTTTTTTTTCTAAATATGCTTCATTTAACCAAACCAATTCAACATCTTTTTTACTATTATTATTCCAACCATTATCATCATTATTTTCCAAATTATCAACAATTTGTATTTTTTTTACAAATCTTCCATTATTATCTCGTTCTTGTTCTTTGGTATTAATTTTTCTTTTTGATGAACGGGTCATTGATATATAATGATATATTTAATTAAGATTATCAAAAAAATAAAATAAATAATGATAATGG